CGTAGGCGTGCCCGGAGATGCGAAACCACCTCTAACCACCGTCACAGACTTGACGAAGGCCTCTGATACGGTGAATCGCGAGGAACTGTGGAAAATCAGAAATTTGGCCTGTTTTAACGATTCACGTACATGGTACGTCAACTCCACGAAGAGGTGATGGTGTGCGTCACGGACAACGACGCAATCTCCAGTACATTCACAGCGTCTAGTTAAGTGAAGCAGGGCTGCGTCTCTGCGTCCACCCTCTTCAGTGTCATGTTCTCTGCCACGCTGATGGGCGTTTACCATGCTTAGCATCCCGAGATTTGCGTGGACTACAGGACTGACGGGTACTCTGTCAACAGCCGGCGAATGCTTGTCCTGACGCGTCACTCCGTAACTACTTCCCTTGATCTGTTCTTCGCTGACGACTGAGCATTCAACAGTTTGACCGAAGAAGACACGCAATGGAGCATGGAACTCTTCGCTCCGGCTGCGAAATATTCAACCTCGACGTCTATACAGGCAATGCACCGGTCACGCATCAACATTCGTCGAACGCTGAATACAGTATCGTTTGCAAGAGCGTCAACGGCACCGAACTTAAGCCCGTGGACAACTTCTGTTACTTTGGCAGCAACATATTCTGCTGCATCAGAATCGACGATGAAGTGACCCACCGGATCATTAAAGCCAACCATGCCTTTGGACGAGTTCAAGCTTCCCTGTGGAATGGTCACGGTCTTCATTTCGACACCAAATTGAAGATGTCAAAGGCCATTGTCTTGGGGACACTTTTCTACGGAGCGGATACCTAGACGGTCTACTTCGGCCATGCCAGCAAGTTCAAACTCGTCTACCTCACCTGCCCTCCCGGAATACTAAGACTAAGATGGCATGACAGGATCCCCGACACGGAAGCCCTAGAACAGACCGTTGGCCTTAGCATCTGCTCCGTGTGAGGCAACTGCATCTGCGTTGGAACGATCACCTCGTGCAGAAGGAAAATACAAGACTACCGAGTCAATTCTCCTATGATAATGTTGCTAACGATGCCCGTCGAATTGGAGAAGCTAAATGACGACTTAAGGTAAATCTAGAGACCTGTGTTGACCTCGCCAAGAACAGACTGGCCTGGAAAAGAGAAGTGAAGACAAGATCAGCCACCTACGAAGCCAACGGTGTCACCGCCAACATAGCCGAAAGGGATTCTCGCAAGTCTCATGCACCTCCGACTAGCAACGTCGCAATTCAGACCCACGAAGAGTGGTCGCACTGTCAACGAACATTTCGTACGCGGATCGGCCTTGATTGTCATCTTCGGACCTAATGCATCAACCACCTGAGGAACGGGGTTGCTGCCTCCAGGACCATGTCTGCTTGAACCCTGGGCCGCACCGCCGTCGGCCAGAACCACTTCTACTACCTCTGCAGAAAATATCGTTACGGTGTCAAACACGAGCAACGTTGCCACCACCGCCAACTACCAAAGCTACCCTGACTCACAAACAAGTTCTTCAATCGCCATGAAGGACATATTATTCATGCCCCCAAAAACTACCAAACTGCAAACTTCAATTTTTATATTGTACATATCGTTATTTTTTGAAAATTTTGTTATTATTTTCCCTTAGAACTCTAGTCTTTTTTTAACTTAAAACAAACTCTCAATTCGCGCTTTTTTGGCTAACCAGACAGCCGAAGCAAATGAAGTCAAAGCGCAGTTGAAATTGACGAGTTTGTTTAAAGGTTTTTTTCCTGAGTTCAAAGGGGACTGACAGTGCCCAAGTGGCGCTACAATAAACCTATTATGTTCTATTATATCCCCGTTTCCAGAAATGTGGATTCGGCCCATACGTGCCTTAATTGCAATCGCACATTCACGTCACTTATCAGCTATGTCAGGCATCCGTAAATCCATCGCGCGGAGACTGGCAAAACAGTCCCTGAAGCACTAACATGCACTTACCGCATCCGTCTCCCCGTCCAGAGAGAGTCCGCATACTTCGTCGTTGCATGGGCATACTAGGCCATATGCGCATACATTTTAACATGCGGTAGACAGTCCTCCCTTCTCATCCTTAACCAAAAGACGATAAAATCCTGTATCTTTTGCATAAGTAGAAAATTTTTACCTGTCGCTATTTCCCTCAATAAACTGAACCAAACTGAAAAAATATCTCCTAGGAACGCAAATGCATTCTGGAATTATTTCTGCAGACATCCAACAAATTCTGCAGTAGTGTCCTTTGTTCAAGCAGACGCTCAATCGTTTTCTGAATTCAGGAGACTTCCGCAGGATTAGATTGTCATATCAACAGAATTTGTCTTCGTATCGACGTGTTCATGCCTTCTAATTCCTATGCCAGGTTCCGACGAGGGAGAAATTGTACTGATTCTGCAACAAGCAACCAAGCGTGCAAATGCTTTAGTCAACGCCAGCAAATGTACACACGCGTGCTTGTCTGGTGCAGAGTTGCAGGTCCAAGAGTAGAAATGTCGACTCTTTGCACTAGTGTTAGCTATCCCTGTTCTGAACTGTTGTCAGTTAATGGGTAGCGGCTTTTATTCCACCGAGTAATCCCAATTACATAAATACTCTCAACTGTATTAAGTACTCAGTAGTCTCTAAACAGATAGCTCGATTCGCGCTGTGTAGTTGATTTCGACAGTGTCTGTAAACTCTAATTATATACCAATACTGTAAATAAGCTTATTATATTTCATACTAGAAGTTGAGAGCAGGTCATTCATGCAAACATCGAAATTCAGAGGGGCACCGATGCTTGAATAGCTAGTACCTAGACGCCTTCAAAGAGTCGTTACATGACGACTTGCAATTCAACATGATAATTGTTTGAAATTTACATTGCTAAGAATGCATGAGGTCCGTATCGCCCACAGATCCACGGAGTCTTAATCACTAGTCTTACATTTTTAAATTTTACTGAGAACTTCACATTGAAACTAGGTAGACAAGACTCAGAACACAGGCCGTGTACGTGGGTACACTTGGATATCTTTAGGACACACTTATTCAGTCATATGGGATCGCGTGAGCATCCATCGCATATGCGATGGATGCTCACGCGATCCCACAAGGCAGTTGTGGACATTGGGAGGTTTTCCGAGAAGAATGTACAACAGAGCAATTGAAGTTGTTCTCCCTACATTAGGCGAGTCCTCAGTCTATGACAATGGACAGCAGACCCATCCGGCCGAAGCACCAGCCCGTAATTGGGACCTTCCTGGCTGTCTCCTATGATTTACGAATTATCCAAGCCTTTAACCCAGGTTTCATCAGCACACAGCTTCTTGCATAGGTGCAACAATTATGACTTACATTATGAATGGCATTCAAGCCGGTTTTGTTAAGTTGAAATGCCTGTCAGCTGGATGGGCACGTGGCGCGAGGCGTGATATTGCCCAAATGGGATGGTTTACACATGGTGGCCGACGATCGGCTTCTAGTAGGTTCTCTAAGTTGGCGTCAAGTTCATTTAAATGGGTGATGGTTTACTCAGCCTAGGGCATGTAGAGTTAAAGCTGTCCCACGGCAATGTTTGAGGCATTAGCTAAACTGGAAAAAATTAACTTACGACACTTAAGTGTCTTATATGCCGCTTGTCGTCTCGCTTTCTGGCCGGTGGCAGGTTTATTCATAACTGATAGCTCAGGGAAATTTTGAATGTACTTGTTTTTGACACTTCATTGGTCCTGATGTCTCGTTTAGTGACAAACTCAAGTAGCCCATGTAGCAGGATGGCGGCGGTTTTAAGTCGATACATGGGTTCAGCCTCATCTTACCAGAATCCCGACTGAAGAGCGATAGCAGGAATGCACTTTTCACCTTTTGGGGATTCGAGTGTCACGTCCATGTGGAAGCAGATGGAGGGAGCCTCGTGTTGTAATTAGCGTCCAGTTGACGTTAATCGGAGCAAAGTGGTCTTCCGTCATTTTTATGAACTAAATTACCTGTTGTGGCCCATGGCGACTTGGCTGCAAGACAACTGTGGAGAGCATTCTGATTATGAGAGCATTGACATGTGTGGATTGGGGTTGGATATGAAATGGGAGTAACGAAAGCGGTTTCGCGGTGCCTGTGTCAGTGGCATAGCGGAGTACCGATGTCCGACCTACGAGTAGGTCGTTCCACCCAGAACGTGGGTAAATTTAGTCAGTAGCGTTTGGAATCCTATCTTATTGGGGGTTGTCAGATCGTTATCTTTCGGCAATGCATCGTCAATATCTGTCGTTGGTAGGACCAATACGGCTACATTCGCTCCTTACATTGCCTCTTCGTGTCTAGTTGTTTATTGCTGTAGGTGTCACAGGTGTTTTCGAGGTAATTAAGGGACAAAATTCGACCTTCTGCATTAACGACGGAACGGTTCATGGAAAGAATGTTAAGTCATAATAGAACGTCAGAAGCAAAGGTGGGAGAGACTGTAAACGTTTGGTTCTTTATGTTAGTCGGAGATGCAATTGTTAGCTGGCGCGAGAACACTATCAAACCGCGATGCAAGAATCAGAACGAGAATACCTTGTAGTAGAGCTTTTTTCATCTTACAATTGACGCACCGGCACTAAAACGAGAAATAGAACAGTAGTAGATAAAATGGTACATCTTCAGGGCATAAGATAGCTTGGCATCCACCTCGGTCAACAAATAGCGGAATCGAGGTGTCGAAAAATCGGAAAGATTTACGTTTGGCAAATTTCAGGCGTCTGTAACGAAAGTACCATGGATAAATAAGTTGTTGTCGTATCCATGTTTCTAGGCTATTCATTTGAACATCGTCAGCTTTGGGTGCACTAATGGGTGCTGCATCGTTCTGTTTGTTAGTTGAAACGGTGCTAGCCTTCTGCTCAGTAATGGGTGGGTGGTCGGGGGAAAATGAAATGGGATTTTCCAGTACGGGCTGTGCCGCCTCTTGATGATAAGCATTACTATCTTTTTCACTTCTAGGAGAAGGAAGTCGAACGGATAGATTTTCTTCTGTGCCATTGTTGAATCGTATATGAGCATATTTGGAGTTACACCGGAGCAGATCGACCTTAACAAGCGGACTAAATTTGAACTGTTGACTGCTCTTCTTCAGCAGAAGTCTGCCGTGAGAGGTAAGCTACATGGGGTTTACCTCTTATTGTAGACAGACACTCTCATGAGGTGTCGCGTTTGTGGTGGTACACAAAAGTGGTCTGATTGAGTGTAAAGCGTCAAGTAGAACGGATTCCCAGTATGTCACAGGAAAACTGGTATGTTATAGCAAGTACGATAGTCTTCCATAAAGTTTGTTTCAAAAGTTCGACTTGCCCATTTCTTTGGGGGTTGTACACGGTTGTCCTACTCGTCGACACCCCTTTATTGCGAAGGAGTTGCCGAACTTCGTTTGACACAAATGAAGATTCGCGGTCAGTGTGTATGTATAGAATACTGGATATGGAGAAGAACTTGCACAAACATTTGATGACAGCTTTAGCATTTTGATCAGGACAGGCAAATGCTAGTGGGAAACGAGAATTTTCATCAATAATCTTCAGCAGATAGCGGTCGTGGATTTCCGGCGGAAGACGACCTTTGGAGTTGATTGACGATCATTCGAACGGCTGAGTAGCTTTGATGAATTCGCCTTGTGTTTTACAGAAACGGGGTTTGACTTCACAGTAATGTTGACGTTCAGCGACAGCATTATTAATCTCCTCCATCGAAAAGGGGACATTCCGAGCCAGAGCGCGGTACGAAAGATGGGAGACACCGGGATGACAAAATGGCCATGTTGTTGTTTCTAATCGACACTGGTAAGTAGGGCTACGTAAAAAAAATCCTGCTGGTCGACCATTCTGATTCAGTGTTACAACGATTGCGACGGCTGAAGCCTAATTCTCGGCAACTAATGAAGTATCGTACTGATCAGTGGCCACTGTGACTCGCTTCAAATGCTTCCATTACCTTCAATGGTAAGGCAAGAGTTTTTTTTAGGAATGATCAGATGAATTTTATCTGAAAAGTGAGATACCCACTGTGAGCAGTATACAAACAGTTTCACAGGCAGCTATCTGGGAAATAAGATCATGCAGAGGAGCCGTTTCACGCAAGGGCCTTACACGATCCGGATTTTGCCTAATGTTGCGCTTGGATACCTCGTAACCAAGAAGTCTGATTTGTTTAACAGCAATAACACTTTTGTCTTAATTGAATGCTAGTCCACCATGCGGGACCGTTCCTACAAATAATGATATTGCCAATGTAGACGGATAGGAGCTTTTGAGATCACGAGTGCTATGCGTCGTAGTTTGCAATATATTCAATCATTTCGCCTATTCCTGGGGGGGAGGAGTAGGCACCTAGAAGTATTTGTTGATCGTTTGGCTGTAATCGACAATCATCCTCTTTTGTGGTTTTTATTGGCCACCACCAGAACCTGGGCTCACCACGGTGATAGTGAATGCTCAATTACACCCTCAGAAAGAGGGCGACTAATTTCTTCTCGTATAAATTGCTCATCTACAGTGGTGTGTCTAAGAGATTTAGCAGTGATAGGCTTGCAGTCCGGTGTCAGTAAACAAACGGTGAGGTTCGACGCAAGCGGCAGCCACAGAACAAGGCGAGAACGTAGGTTTAGGCCCATAAAAGGGATATAAAACTGGAGAAAATCATGTCTAAGTAAGGCATTGGTGCACAAATCGTTACGTTGAAGTTTCAGACACATTGCATTATCCGTTAAGTGTGCACCTTTCCTTGGTGAACATTCTTGACTGCAAGTGCGACCAGCTGCTGCGTTTTTCCTTTATTCAAAGGTCAGAGACTGCGTTTATCAATCAGTTCGCCTTTTAGGAAAGGCATGAGGACTTTGCTTTTTTATCCAATGTTGCCTATAATTTTCTGCATAGTGGAAGTCTTGCAGTCGTCTGATTAACTTCGACAGGAAACACTGATTATATAATTTTCCAGTTAATGGGCCGTTTGCACTTATATTTTCCCTCTCCGATGTTCGCATCTTTATAGCCCCGATTCCAATGTTTCTTCACTGATGGAGGACTCGGTACAGCATTTTTCCTAGGGCCTCGCAAAGGCACTTCAAAGCAGAATTTGAAATGACACCGGCGTTGTAAACGTTGCAACTCTCTGCATTCGATTAGCTGGTTTTCTGATTGGCCGGGAGGACCTCTACGTCCTTACCCCTCGATCTCGGACATTAATTCACGCATAGGTGTGGTGATGTCGTTTTGTTAAATATCAGAACACGATGACGATGATTTGACCGTCGTTGCCGATTTTATCTACCGTATGCCTCAGCACAGCGTGGCCGCAGGGAAAGTGGTTTGCGCGTGGATTATTTTGCGGTGAGTAGACTTGAGCAGCATCTACTGCACTCTCTCCTCACTCTCCTGGGTCCATTGTCTGAACAAAGTAATGGTGGCCGGAGACGGGACCGGCTTACAGAATGTAACGGCCTGGCTACGCCTGGTCGAAGTCTAGGTGGACCACCACCACCACCACCACCACCACCACCACCACCACCACCACCACCACCACCACCACCACCACCACCACCGCCATCATCACCATATCACTAATGGCTTGTTGGTTGACTTTAGGGCGGCTGTGGGGGATTTGGTAAAAAGGGTTTCTAACCGTTTTCCGTCCGGAGCGCGTGAGCTTTGGTGTATTTTGAGTGCCGAACATCTCTGCCTCACCCACCAGCGACATACTGCAGGAGTAATTTCAGGCCTCGTGGAGTCCATTGGTTTTGCGATTTTGGTCTAGGTGCATGCAAAAGCCGTCATGAAAATTAAATTTATATGCATTGTAGTCAGAGCTAATTTGTTATATCTAGCCAACTTTCCGTTAAGGCAGACGTAGTCGGCAATCTTATATCCAATCATTTTCTCGTCTTCTTAGACACAGACGCAACGGTGTCACATATTGTGAAAGCACTGGAATGTCTCTGGCTGTGCAGTCAGGGGTAACCTGTCACCTGGAAGTTGACCTCAAACCAGCGCCTGGTCGGTCATCAACTTAGCAAACCTGCTGTGGTGCATCTTTCCTAACGAAATTAACTTCGTCTGCATACTTTTACCCCTTTGGGAGGATGGCTCGCAGGTACTGAAGAACTTCCACTGTTGCCAACAGTAAAGAAGTTGTTGCTTTCTACTGCGCGCGTTGTCTAGTAGGTCTTCCCATTCGAAGCTTCACTTCCCTAAACAGTTATGAATGGGATCAAAGGCGACGTGACTGCTGTACAATTAAACACACTTCTTACCTTGGTCCGGAGATGTTGGCTTTTGACCGTTGCCCGTGACATGCTAGTTCTGTGGTTAGTCTTGCCTTCCCACTCAACTTACTGCGCTGTATGTTTGAATCCAGTTTTGACAAGTTTGGAAGAAGCGCTTTGGCAAAGCGGACTGTGAATTGTACTCTGTGGCTCTGATGGATGAATCGATGCCACCGCTCGTACTAGGTCTAACAAACTAGCACCTTTTTTGAGAATCATCACAGGTGTTTGAACACACGACATTTACCATGATAGACGGGACGTTCATTGATGTCTCTGTTTTGGGCTTCTTCGGAGGCATCTTCCGAAAGTAGTCGTCCGTTTGCCTTGACCTTTTTGCGGTCTGATTTCTTCTTGGGTTTTTTTGGCTACCTTTCTGATCGTTTTCATTTCGCCTTTTGAATGTTCGTTCTGGGGCTGCCGTAGACAAAAACCACCCTCTCCGCAATTGGCCTCCAATCCATTTTCATCCCAGCCAATAGTCCCGATTTGAATCCTATCGAAAATCTTTTTGGAATAGTCAACAAAATTGGCACAAAACTAAGAAGACTCTTTCAATGCAGGAAAAATTGGATTTTATACTCAATAATTACATTTTACAATCCACCATAGATAACCTCGTCATGTCTATGTCTGACAGAATTCCTGCCGTTATTAATTCAAATGGACAATCAACAAAGTACTGATTTTTTGTATCTGTTTCTGTCCTTAATTATTTTTGCTCTTTTATGCGCCCTCCTCCTTTATACGCCCTCATACGTAGCCTTTATTAACTTGGTTGTAATATAGGCGTTTCTCGAAAATGTGACTTCTGTCGAAAATTATTTATTTTTATCTCAGTAAATAATATTTTCTAAACCAAACTTTGCTTTATTTCTTTTACACATCTTTTATTTTCCGCTATCAGACTGGGAGCCGTAGTGTTTACTGATTCTGCGTTAAAGTCGTTTACCTGTGTTAATTCATGACATTTCATGAGTTAGCACAGGTACTGTAGGTGCTGGCGGGCCTATTATGCGGGGCGCTTTCATCATACTTCTGGTTACTCATCCAGTAGCCAAATTTGTATCGTTAGCTTGGTCTGGACTGCATCGCAGTTGGGCTTTTATCTTTGTGATTTCTTCCTCGGGATAGTTCAACTTGACGACCAGAATCTGACATCCGCCACAGCTCTGACCAGCATTTTGTGCGTCTATACAGTCAAGGAGACTTTGTGATACTGCTCGCCGCCGCCGAGGTGCGGTTGCCGGGGGGTTACCGTAGTTGACTGATTAACGGGTAGTCGTTGGATCGACCCCGTACTTTGATAAATACGATTTAGTTATTCTTTAATAGGAGGCAAATTTAGTCACCAAATGTCATTTAGCTTTTTAATTTACTTTGCAGCTCACTAAACAGTTGCCGAATGCTGTTTGTTTACTAAGTAATTTATTAATTTAGTAATTTTTTGCGAATCTCGGTTTAAAATTAGATTAAAGGTGCAGTAATCTGTGCTGGATCCTATTTTTGTGGTCATAATCTCTGGAAAAGGCCTAGAATGCTCTTGTTAATTCTGGATCTAATTAGTCGTTCAGGCCTCGAGATCTTCTTTTGTGCTTCCAATGTTCATTTTATAATCCTATCTGATCATCCAAATTCCCTCCTTTTAGTTGTTCCCTTTGGATTTTCCGCGCATTCCACTGTGCGGAATGAAGACCTCTCCGGATGCCCGTCCATCCTGGAGCACTACAAGGACCAGCCCTTTTTGATGGACTGGACCCCAGCCGAGGCTTCTCGTCATTGCGACAGTTCTGAGACTTAACTACTCACGACTGGCATGATATCAGGGTATGTTTCCGGACATCCTTCCTGGACAGTTTTCTAAGCTGGGCTTGGGCGGTAAGTCTGCGTTGTCTTTGAATTTGCTGCGAAGTAATGCTTCATCACGGTGCGAAAACAGATTGAACACTCCCTATGATTTATGTTTGATTTGATGTCCGGCCCTTTTAGTTCGTGTTGGCAGTGTGTGGATGGAAGTGGCGGCTGTATCACGCTTAAGTCAGTTTATTCAGGGAATAAGGATTTCGCCCTTGAGCTCCCTATTCATATCGATACAAAGAAATGGGATCAATTGTGACATCAGATCTGGAAATTCGTCTACGACGAAATTCTTCGAGGTGCACTGGTAACCCAGTTTCCCTGAATATCTTCCATCTTTTGCTGTTCTTCCATAACTGCCCTTTCAGGTCCCTAGTTAACGAGGCAGGTCGACTAGTCGTTTTGTTTAGCTTAGGTTGACAAGAGTGCCGAATTGGATCGAGTGAAATCGTCTTTGACGATTTCCAGTCGTCCTCATGATCTCCCTTGAACAAACAGTCCAAATTCACAGACATGAATTCGTTCCTCATTGTGTTAAAATCTGCCTTCCGTATATTAGAATGGCCTTCTGTTCTCTTCTGGCGTTGAGAGAAGAGCGAGTAATTCCACAGTAGCCTCGTATGGTCATTCTTTCCGAGAGTTGCACTGGAATATACTTTGTCAATATTAGAGAAGTTTTTAGTGAGAAATAGATTTAGGCAATTCGCTCTCTGGTTCTCTCTGAATCTTGCTGGTACCTTCACATGTTGCACCAGAGGGGGGTCGAGTGTAAGGTCCATTAGCTTATTGCTGAAGGAAGCTGACCCATCATTAACTACCATAGCTTCCCACTCTATTGCAGGTGCGTTGAAATCTCCAGCGATAAGAACCTCTTGATGGCTAGCTACTTCCTCGACTGAATAAAGTTGCGACTCATCAGTTGCTCCGGGAAAGTTGGGTGCTCTAAAAACCGTCAGGAATTCTAGGTTTTGTGCGTTAATCTTATTTATCTGTATCCAGGTGGAGTTAAATTCCTGTCCGTACATGTACGACTACTCCACCGCCCTGTCGTTTTTACGGTCTGTGCCATAGAGCCGGTAACCCCGTATCAAAATCTAGGCATCCACGATTTCGGCATTAAGCCATGTCTACGTTATAGCAGTGACGCCGGGGTTTCGTTATAAACGTAGCGCCTTGAGCGATATTATGCAAAGATGTCAATTTTATCCGGCCTACAGGCATCTGTCCATTGCATGGGGTTGGATGCAAAAGCCGACCGGAGCTGGTCGAGATGGACTGCTTTCTATCACTCCTAAGCTGTTAGGTTTATAGGCTTTCTCCAGAGGAATGGCCTCTGGACACGTATGATTTTCTCATTCAGTATTCTTAGATTTTTCTCGCCCAGACTCGATCGTCTGGGGCCTTCCAATTTAAGCACCCTCCATTTCGTTGTCTCTCCGCGGGTAAAAAGTCCCGCTTAAATTAACTGATGGGTGGGCATTTTGGGGCGCAGATTTCTTGCTCAACAGTAGCTGCGCTTGTTCCTCATTCTGGAAGACAATTTTTAGCGGTCTCGGTCGGTCTGGTTCATGTTTTGAGTCTTTTATTCGGTCTACCCGGAGAGCCTTCATTACGATGACTTCCTCATCTCTTAGGAGTGATTTGAGGTATTGCTGGAATATTTCTGTCATGCTGTATTCTGTCCTTTGGAGTGTCGGAAACAGACTCAGGCATGCCCTTTATGACAATGCATTTAATGAGACCAACTCAAGGGCGTTGTGGTTCAATAATTCTTGAAGAGACTTCATCACGGGTATCCCGGCTACCGCCATTCTCTGATTTAGTAAGGTTTGATTCTGTAGGATTAACACATGACTGCCTGTTTACTACGATCTTTTGATTGCCGAAGATGAAGGCAACAGAACGCTGATCCGTGATGAGTTTAAAGTGATTACAGAGGAAGAAGTGCTTCCATTTGCGTATGGATTCCACTACGGCATATGCCTCTTTCTCTACAGCTTGAATGGTGTCGCTCATTTGGAGATAGGCTACTTGAAAAGAACGCTACTAGTCGGCCATTCTGATTCAGTGTGGCAACGGTTGCGACGTCTGAAGCATCGGTCTCGACAACTAATGAGGTATCGTACTGAACAGTGGCCACTGTGACTTTCGCAAGTTCCTCCTTAAGAGCATCAAACGCTTTTATTACCTTCAATGGTAAGGGGGAAGTTCTTTTATGGATGAGCAGATGAATTTTATCCGAAAAGTGAGATATCCATAGTGAGTAGTATGCAAACAGTCCTACAGGTCGTTGTTGAGACTTAAGACCTTGTGGAGGAGTCATTTCACGCAATGGCCTTAGACGATCCGGATCCGGCCTAATGTTGCCCTTGGACACCTCGTAACCAAGAAGTTTAATTTCTTTAGTAGCGATAACACTTTTGGCTTCATTGAATGTTAGTCCGT